CATAGAACCCAGGGGACCCAAACATTGCTCCCAAATTGGCCACACAGGCAGAAATTTCAGGAGTGCTTGGGGACACTGCATCAGTCAGAGATTCTTGCCTGCCTCTGGCTTCTCTATTCTAGGCCAGTTCTTCACACCTACCTCCTCCTTTTCTTTCTAGTTTTAGGAACGGTCCTTTTCCCTGTCCTGATCTTTCGGTTGCGAGCACTATCTCTCTCTCTGCCTGACCCGTTGACAGCCAGAAAGCTTCCTCAATCCCCTCCCAGCTTCCTATCCCAGAAAACACTGCCTGTCCTGAGAGGTTCGCCAGCGCAGCAGGCGTCTCTTGGGCTCACATTGATTTACCTTCTGTGAGAATTCCCTCCGTCTCTCACAGCTTAAAAAGGATGACCCCAGAGAAAACCCCAGGCAATGCGACATGGGCACTGAGAGTAAGCAGCAGGCTGGCCTGTGCTGAAATGGTAAAGAGTCAGAGGGATGATAGTAGGCACACCACCATCTGCTACAGGCACACAGTGTCCTCAACGCTGAGTCATCTTTGTGTTCCTGGAGCCATCCTGGGTGTCACCCTCACTCAGACTAGGCTGAAATCCTATTTTCCTTCAATCTTGTGAATACTCTCACGGAATTCCAGTAAGTTTCTTTTTTAAAAACTGCACATGTATTTTATGATTATAATGGTTAGTATTATGGTTGCCGTTATTATTTTGCTTAGGCTGGTTAGAGTTGGTTTCAGGTGTAACTGATAAAGAACCTCTTCCAGTGTAGGTAGCTGAGTAACCAATGGGCGGGGAATAATTAGGTCATTTGAAGAGGGTCCAAGTGATATTTACTACGTGGTATGTCCTGCAACTGATAGTATAAACTAACACTGACTGAGCACTTTCCACCAGCCAGGATTTTCCACTTAGACCCCATGGGGCAAGCTCACGCAAACTCTTCAGCACAGGCTATGAGGAAAAAAACCATAGATATGAACATGACCAAACTTAAAAGGTACACAGTAAACTGGAAAAATATAATTGCCACAGATCTGATATTCAAAGATATGCTTGATCTATAAAAATAAGCAAAGAATGAAAACCCCAAAAGGAAAATGATGTACCAATAGTCAATCAATATGTAAAAAAATCTGTTAATAAAGGAAAAGTAAAATGGCAGATTATTCCCCAACTTCCCAATTATCCTATCAATTGGGAAAAATATGCCAAAATGATAAAGCGAGATGTTGGTGCACGTTACACTTCCTCCTGCCCGCTGCTGGAGGGGTTGTGAAGTAGAACAGTGTACACTTTCTGGAGCCGGTTTGAAGATGGATCAAAAGCCTTTAAAATGTTCATATCTTTTGACCTGACAATTCCAACTCTATGGCCTTTATCAGGGAAATAGAGTCGTGTAGAAAGAGAAACACATAGCTCTTTGTATTATTTATATAATTAAAGGGAGGTGTTTTTTTTTAATTTTTACTGGGGAACAGTGTTTTTCTAGGAGCCATCAGCTCCAAGCTCCAAGTCAAGTAGTTGTATCAATCTAGTTGTGGAGGGTGCATCTCAGTGGCCCATGTGGGGATCGAACTGGCAACCTTGGTGTTATGAGCCTGAGCTCTCACCACTTGAGCCAACCAGCTGTCCCTTGTTTGTTTTAACTGGCTTGCTCCTGGAATGAAGGGCAGTATCCCAAGTGAGATACATAAACATTTACAAGCACTTTTCCAATGCCAGGTGCTTTTTTAAGAGCTTTACACGTATGAACTCACTCCTGGAGACACAGTCCAGCTGGGGACCACTGGGGCAACTACCCAGCACAATGAGGGAACCGGGCAGGACTGGTGTGGCCTCAGGGCTGCAAGTAACAGAAAACAACTTGAATTAGCATAAATTAGGGGCAAAAAGGATTTTTGGGGGGGCAGGGGTTAAGAAACCTGTGAAATCTCAACAATAGATATTAACAACAGTTAAGGCTTACTGAGAGCTTACTACAGGCCAGGCACTGTTTGAAGCACTTTGCATGTATTAATACGTTTAATCTTTACTCAATCCTGTGAGGTAGGTACGTTCTTAATCCCATTTTGCAAGTGAGGAAACTAAGGCAAAAGAGGGGATAAGTGGCTTGCCCAGGGTTGAAACAGTCAGTAATGACAGAGCAGTAATGCCAGCCAGCCAGATAGCTGGCTCCAGGCAGAGCACGTGTTCTTAACTAAGTGAACGAGGGCTTGGCTGATTCATGACTGGAGACGACGCTCTCAAGGCCTCTTGGCTCGTCTTGCATCTCGGAGCTTCCTTCCCAGGTGGGCTCCCTCCACGGCGGCAGCCACCAGCTCACACTGACCTCACGGCTCACCATACCAGCAGAGCAGGTCTTCCCAAAAGCCCCAGCCCAAGTCCTGGGGACTGACGGATCCGGTTAGGGTTGTGCGCCCTCTCCTAGCCTGCTCAGAACTCTGCAGGACTACTGCAGAACGGAGGGAACGCGGTTTCTCAGAGGAAGGGATGCTGGGCAGGCATATGTCTGTCTACACCGAAGGCCAGTTATTTGTGATCAAGGACCAAAGCGAAAACCAGGTAATGAAATTCCTGCTACATGCCAGGTGTTTGCAAGGCACTGGGGAACCACTAAGACATGGCACTGGGGGATTGGGGAGCTACTGAGACATGGTTGTTGCCCCCATCAACTGGGGAGAGAGCAAGCAAAAGGGAAATTGCAACAAAGAGTAACTGGAGCCCAAGGAGAAGGGAATGACTGATTAAGAGGTGAGCAGGCGGCAGATCTGCAGGCCCGGCAGGCCCAGTGAAGTAGTAACGAATAGTAACTACCACTGCTTGAACGCATACTACACGCCAGGCACTACGCTAAGCAATCCGTGTATATTTATTTTTACTCGGGTACCTGTTGTATCACAAATGAGGAAACAGATACTTAAAATAAGGAAATAATACCCAAGGACCCATAGTGATGGAGCCAAGATTCAATAGTCTTTTAACACTTCAATAAATATTTTGGACTTAACCATGTTGCCAAGGGGAGGCCAGCAAAGGTCAGAGTCAAATTCATTTTTCCCCGTAAGTAATCTACATTGAAAACGAAAATTTCTTGGTTGGTAGCACGCTGATATCATGTATCTATCATTGGGGTGCGCACATTTAAGAACTTATTCAATGGGCCCCAACAACGAAGATGTGGTCAGTGAATACTGGACTTTTTCCAAACTGCTTTTAAGTATCATCAATATGGCGTGCAAGCAGTACCCGTGAAAAAACCAGGGAAAAAAGCTGGAAAGGATTTCAGATCCAAATACAAAGGCCTGAAACCACCAAAGGGGAAACCGGATCTGACCTGAACATACTACATATGGAAAGCCTGGAATTGCTGCGATGCTCTGGGGAATATTCAGTTACAAGGGAGACCTAGCACTGACCTTCTGCGGAGACAATCAACAGAAGACTGTATTTGACAAGAGGAATTCACTTCCTATTAACAAGGCTTCTAACCCTGTACAAGAGAGAGAAGACAGGAGGGCAAGGACCCCATTTGGCTTTGAAGAGTTGAACCCTGGTTCTTTAGGAGTCTGAAAGGAAAAGAAGAAAACAAAACAGGAAAGAGGAGGTATTGTGTAGAAAGGCCATATGATCCACCCAGCTGTTACTCCAATGCGTTTGCTAGAAAGGCCAAAGAAATGACAGAAATAAACCAGTAGAAACTTGACCTTCTTTTCTTATTTTGAATTACATTTCTTCTGCAAATACTCTCGGCATATAGAAGATAAGAAAGAGGGCCAACTAATTCGAATTTTCCTTCCTGGGTGGCTTTCAGGGCTAGCCATTCCTCTGACACATCTCTAGCCACTCTCCGTGCTCCCCACACCCCGCAGCAGCACACACTGCCCTTTATTGGGCACTTACAGAACCCCATATACAGTGTTTGTATTATGACACTGCACTGAAATGGTCTCCTCCACTAGATTACAACTTACTTCTGCTCTCAGCGTTTTGGCATTTTCTATGTTGGCTTAGTTAAGGAAACACTTGCATACGTTTATAAATACTGCAATGTACTGTAGTAAATCTGTGTGGCCATCTATGGTCCAGGAGCTCCTCAAGTGCAACTTCACGTCTTAATATCTTTATCTCCGTTGCCTGACAAGGTGCCTAACAGCTCCCAGCGATTAGTAGGTGCTCAGGAAACGTTTAAAGGGCTAAGCACAAACTTTCTCAACACATGACATGGTAGGAAACGGGTAGGAGAGTAAGAAACAGGATTCTTGATGGAGAAACACTTGTGAATTGGTGACACACCGTCTTTTTCGGTTTATGGGCTTGAGGAATGGGAAATGGCAGCTTTCTGGGGCGGTATAAATGTAGCTCCCACGTTCCTAGCTGGGGCGCATTCTCAGAAGTTGGAAAAACGGAGTTAACGTGAACAATATACGGGTGCTTCGCATTTAAACCCCGCAACAAATCTATGAGGCCGGTTCCAGTCCCCGCGGTGCAGAAGAGGAAACAGGCCCAGGGAGAGTTCTTTCTTGCCCAAGTCTACCCAAGCGGTCGATGCCGGGTCTGGCCCAGCGGCTTTCCTTCTCCGAGGGCTGCTTTCCATCCTTTCAGTCCCGCTGGGCTCGTCTTGAAGACAAGGCGTCGGAAAGCGGCTGGGGGCTGAGAGCCGGGGCCTCCACGGAGAGTCCTGCTTATGTTTGGGGCACCGGGGAGCCAAGGGCAGCTCCAGAGGCGGACAGCGAAGCGAACCCAGCGGCCCCGCACGCCGCGCACCCCGGCCTGGCACGCATTCAGCGGCACCCGTGAGCTCGGCCCTTCGGGAGAAACGGGCGTGTTTTCGGCCCAGAGAGGATCAGTATTTTGAAACTCAAATCACGTTTGCGCGCGGAGATGGCGAAGCCAACTCGCCCTAGACGCTCACCAATGAAAACCTCGGAGACAATACGGTCTCCACCCGTCCGCTAACGAGGCCCTACCGCCCGGAAGCCGCGGCCGGAAGTTCCGGTGGGTCTGACGTCACGTCCGTGGTGTTTCTTGGGACGCCAAGATGGATGCGTCGCGGGCCCGGGAGCAGCTCCGGCGGCGATTCCAGTTCTCGCCGGACGCCGAGGCCTCGCCGGACCGCGAGGGCCCCCCCGGGCCGGGTGAGGCGCTCTGCCGGCCGCGCTCCGAGCCGCGCCGAGGTTCCCGGAGGCGAGGCGCCCGGAAACGGCCGGCCTTGCGGGCTTCCCGCAGCCCTGCGCAGCCAGGGGGGGCCGGGCGCCGGCTCCCAAGGCTCACCAAGCAGTGTAGCAAGTCGGGTGTTTGGGGCCACGGCGGTCCTTAGAGATCTCGTGGCCTGCGCATCTTCAACTCCGGCTGCGCTGCAGCATTCCCAGGAAGGCTGGTCTAACACCTGTTTGGTACTAAAAATACGCACCGGTTCTGTTTCTCAGAATCAGCCAGAGAAACATACTCGTGCCGGCCACAAGGGCGTGCGTGCCCAGCGCTGCACCGCAGCGTTGCTTGCAATAGCGAACGACTGGAAACGTCTCACTGCCCGTCAGCAGAGAGCTGGTTAAATACATCAGGATGTATCCGTAGCTGACGCACACCAGGCTGACTTATCTAGCAAGGTGGATGATTTTCAAAGGGAGGCACAGGACAGTGTATGGCATGCCACCATTTGGGCACAAACCTGAGAACCTGTGGTGTGTGTTTTCCTGTAGGTGCAGAGGTTATGTTACAGAAGAATTCAATAGAAGTTGATATTGGTGGGGCTGCTGCTGGGCAGGGGAACCGGGAGAGATGGACTTCCTTTTAGATCTTGTCCTATATGTTGTAAACTATGCGTGTATTACCTTAAAAACAAAACAAAAACAGAAAACATAATGCCCAGGCATGCTGGCTTGTAAGTTCTGAGGGTACTATCTCCCAGAATTTGTATTATGAACAAGCTTCTTAAGAATTCTAAAGGTTGAGAATCTGAGGTGTGTAGTGGTTATGAACTGAGAGAAAGGGCATGTCAGTCACCTGGGGAACTTGTTAGAAATAACTCATTTGACCCAGCCCTAGCCACCTGTTCTTTCAGATTGGGTCCCAGATGGAAGAAATCTGACTTGTCGATCCCCTGGTTAGACAGCCCTGTGCTAGGAGGAGACCTCCAGTGTGCTGTCTCTTTGAGCTGCCTCAAAAGGTGTTTGTTTAAAATAATTCAAAGGAACAATTATATGTAGTATTTTTGGAAATGACAAGTCCGTTTTGTGCTCTTAATATTTGCCTTTTGCGTTTTTCTTAATAGGACTAATTACTTTCCTAGACGAAATATGAAACATAATATTAAAATTCCTACACTACCAGATGGCGTCAATCTTTCTGAAAGACTGAATATGTAAATTTGATTTCAGAATTCATTTCTAGTAAAAAAGTTGACTATATAGACCATGTTATATAGCAGGCAGCGTGTAATTATTTATACAAATATAAACCCCTTTTGCTGGTTTTACAGAAGAAATTGGTGCTATAATGGGAGAGAATCTGGGTCTTAGGAAGTGCTAGGACATTATTTTATTTGGCTTAAAAGAAGTATAATTTTTCCTCATAAGCTTATGGTAATTGGTTGAAATCTCCCTTATCTGCAGAAGCCTCCACAGCTGTTACGAAAAAGGAGCAACCTCTTCCGAGACTTAACACCCATTCTGGATTCTGGATATTGGCATCCATTGTTGTGACCTATTATGTTGACTTCTTTAGCACAGTTAAAGAAAACTTTCACACTAGTAGGTAAGAGAACTTTATGGCTTCATAAGTTAAACACCCTTGTCTTACGTTTCATGCTATAATTTGTCAGTTGAAATGCTGACTATGTACCTACTTTCTGCTAGGCACCGTGTTAGAGGTGCTGGTGATACAAAGATGAGTGAGAGTGCGTGCTCTGGGCAGAGTGGATGGGACTGGACATTATTTCAGTGTACTTTTTCAGCACAAATGTGTTGTAGGATGGGAGAGGGAGTAACTTAGAGGACGACCTAATCCACTTGTAAATCACGGAGGGAGCAAGACTGGCTGAACGTCTCCGTGAAGATAAAGGGCGGAGTGCTGGGAGGAGGGGATGAGAACTGGTGGGTGAGCGTAGGGCCTCAGCGATGGTTTTCAGAGAGTAGCTAACGAGGTAACTGCAGGTCGTGATTGAGTTAGAGTTGAGGTAAAGGTCACTAGTTACTCTCAGGAGTTGACGTGGAGGAGAAGGTTGTGAATCATACCCCATATTCCTCAGTGAGCATCGGAGAATGTTCTGGAAGCCCCCAGATAATAGAAAAACAAGGGAGAGATGTTGGTGAATGTCAGAGCTGGCATCGTTTGCGTAGGGCAAAGCCTAATTGTTCGGAAGCACCAGTGAGGTCGAGTGGAGTAGACGGAAGTGTGTGGTCCTGTTATCAGAGGGGACACAGTTTCTCCAGAGGCCTTCGGGAGAAGCAGTGATGACCAGAGGGGAGTCCCAGGGGAGCAAGGAGCACGCAGTCAGGAGAAAGTAGGCAGAGGGGAGATTGTTTAAACTATTGGAGGCAGAACTCTTGTACCTCTCTTTCCTTATTTCCATGAGCAGTGACTTTCCTGAAAGACTCCTGCCTTCCTGCCCTTCGTCCCCACCCTCCCCTTCCCTGGGAGGCGGTGTGACTTCCTGATTGAGTTTGCGATGACCTAGACGTGTAGCTCAGCACTGCCTTCCAATTGGGAGCCAGCTGCCCATGGGAAGCGCAGTTTCTGGTCTGCTTTTCTGTACCTTTGTTTTGCATGGCAGCCCTGACATGAGAAGGTCGCTAGGGTTTCACTGCGACTTGGGACCTCGTGGGTATTTCTGTCTGTTTCTGGGTTTCCGTATTAGGAGGCACTTTGTCACCATTCACCAAAGCCATCTTTCCACAGCTCTGTCAGTAAAAAAGCTGACAATTGTTCTTCATCAGCCTTACTCCTTTGTCTCTCTCAATTGGTTTAGAACTTGGGCAAGGAAAGGAGGGAATAGTTACTTTATTTTTTTTAAGATCTGTGCTTTTTTTTTTTTTTTAGTTTCAGATGTACAAAACAATGCAATAGCTATCCTTTTCACTCCTCACAAAGTGACAACCTCCCTCTCCCACCACTCCCCCCCCCATATCATACATATCTACTACAATTCCCTTGACTCCATTCCCCACACTATACTCCACATCCCGTGACTATATATGTATTAAATTATAGTTGACATATAATATTATTCAACATCATCTTCAGGTGTACAGTGCAGTGGTCAAGCCTTTACTCATTCCATGAAGTGGTCTCCCTAACAAGGTGTGTTCATCTGACACCCTACAAAATATTTACAACATTATTAATTATATTCCCCGAACTGTCTTTCATATCCTGGTGGCAATATTGTAGTTACCTATTTATGCTGTCCAATCCCTTCCCCTTCTCCTTCATCCCCACCCCCTCCCAACTAGCAGCCATCAGTTTTTCCTGTGTCTCTGAGACTATTTCTGTTTACATTTCTCATTTATTCAGTTCTTTAGATTCCACATATAAGTGAGATCATATGGTATTTGTCTTTCTCCAACTGACTTATTTCACTTAACATAAAGTTCTCTAGTTCCATCCATATCGTTGCAAATGGTACTATTTCTTTCTTTATAGCTGAATAATACTCCATTGTATAAATGTACCACAGTTTCTTAATCCAGTCGTCTACCGATGGGCATTTCGTTGTTTCCAAGTCTTGGCTATTGTGAATAGCGCTGCAGTGAACATAGGGGTGCATGTATTTTTTCGAATTAGTGTCTTGGGTTTCTCTGGATAGATATCCAAGAGTGGAATTGCTGGTTCATACGGTAGTTCCATTTCCAGTTTTTTGAGATACCTCCATACTGATTTCCATAATGGCTGCACCAATCTGCAGTCCCACCAACAGTGCAGCAGGGTTCCCTTTTTCCCCACAACCTCGCCAGCACTTGTTGTTTGTTGATTTATTGATGATAGCCATTCTGACCGGAGTGAGGTGGTATCTCATTGTGGCTTTTATTTGGGGAATAGTTACTTTAACCACCACCAGTGGCAGCTGCCCCTTTGTTCATCAGATATTCCACAAGAGCCTGGATGTGTTCAGCTGTGGTGATGAGATAAGTAAGGCCCATTTCTAGCCCTCCAGCAACTCATTCTAGGCCCAGAGAGACAGATGAGTAGGTCACGTGGGGTGTGTGTACGTGTGTACGTAACGCAAGATGCTATGCGAACACCTAGTCCGAACCTTTCTGAGGTTTAGGACAGATGAGAGGATTTGTCTATTTGTAGCCTTACACATTAAGCATTCTTAGTAGTTTAAGGAAATAGTGAGGTAAGGAATAGTTAATTACACATGTAAGATGTTGGGGTGCCTGCAGGAGTAAATGGAACGCCCAGGAGCACACACCCCACTGTCGAGTGGCAGAGCCAGGACTTAGACTCTGGGACCAGGACTCTGGAGCATGAAAAGGAAGCAGAAGCCACAGGCCTGGCCTCCAAACCGTGTCCTCTGAGAGAAAAGCCATAAGTGCTCAGAGGCCAAGGGTTTTGCGTAGCACCGTGCCCTTGCTGGCTGAGGGCCGCTGCAAGCAGTGGGCAGCTTGAGCAGCCGTGGGTGCCTCGTGCTGCCTCAAAAACGGTTCAGTCCTCTGATATCTGAGGTAATTTCTAGCCCTGCTGTTCTCCCGGTTCACAAGTTGGAGGCATCGGAGTTCTTCAAATCTGTGCAAGGTTCTAAGACTGTCTGTTCAAAGACAGGAGAAACAAGTGAGCTTAAAAACAAAGCACGACATTGTGGTGCTTTGGAAATCACAATTAAAAAAAAAATCCTGGGTGTGTGCATCATAATCGACTGTGGAGTTAAAAGAAAAAAGGAACTAAATTTATGAACCCAGATGCCCAGGGCCTTCCCCAGACCCATCAAGTCAGAAGTTTGCAAACTGGGCCAAGATCGCTTCCTTTTAGAAAGTTGCAAAGGTGACTTGACATGTAGCCAGGGTTGAGAACCACTAACTTGTAGTATTTTCTTTTATTCAAGCATTTTCCCCCATTTTTTAATATTCTTTACCATATCTGGACGGAGTAGCCACACTAGGAGTCCATGTGATGATGAAAACCTGATAGGAATAGAAGGAAGGATTCCGACCGAGCAAGGAGGTGATCACAGCTCGCAGTGTCCCTCGGCCTCTCTAGTGTCTCCTCCTAAAGAGCCGTTTGTAGACCTCCATGAACTCCATGGATATCTGTGCTTGATACATAACGTCTGTTCTTCACTTTGGGGGCGCTATCACACCTGTTGAGAACGGACACTCCAGCAGGAGAAAGAGAGGCCCTGGAAGACACCTAAAGAGGAGTCTGGAAATATTTTCCCCATAGATAACGTCAGGACTAAGGCTAATCGCTGTTGAGGGTTAGCTGTGTGAGAAGCACTCGGTAAGCACGACTTCACTCTCACGGCCATTCTGTGATGCGTGCTGTTAATATTCTGAGTCATTTGCCCAGAGCCACAAAGCTAGTCGTGCCAGACCTGAGAGTCCAACCCAGGCACACAGACTTTGAAGACCGTGCTCCTAACTGCTGTGCAGACTGCCTGTCAGAATTCTGACCCCCACAACTGCACCATCACAAAAGCCTTAAAGGAATCTGGAACCGTGCCGTTGTTGGGAGTCCACTCAGTGGCTGTGCAACTTGAGTGTTCCCCCTCTGTCCTCTACATGGAATGCTAGTCTCCCCACGGAGAAGCAAAGCATAAATGGGGGTACAGGGTTGAGCTGGGAGACTGGGAAAGGAGCTTCGTTTCCAAAAACCGGCCGCCTCCCATGCCAGCAGGGGCTGGAAGAAGGGGGCTGACCAGGTTGCCTCATGTGCCTGAGTCAGGTCTTGAGTAGAATTAGAAGCAAGGAAGAAGACATCGAAGACATCGCCCCTTGAAGGATTGGAGCTCCTCTAAATCTGAGGGTTTCATTTATTGGGTCGCTGGAAAAGTCATGACGTATTTTTCTGTTTTTCATTGCAAAAATGTGTCATGACTTTTCCGATAACCCAATAGAAATGTCTTACAAGAGGCAATTTGAATTAACCATCTTCCAAATGGATTTTCGGCATTCTAAGAAGCCCTACTTATCTTGGAGGAATTAATGGTACCTATTACTCTCACACTCAAAGCTTCAGAAACACACAGAAAGCTGCTATCTTTCCTGTATTTTTAAAGAGAATGCATCGCTGTAACTAGGGTTCTTTTTTGGTTGGTTAGTATAAAAGTTAGTATAAAAGTACAAATGCATGTATTCGAAGTCTTATGTTTTCATCCTTCTTGGGTCTCATCTCACCTTTCTCACCCGTCACCCATTAGATCAAGACTTTCTGAAAGCTGGGATTGAGTTATTAGGGGTCCCTTTGTGTCCCTTTTTCAGTTGATGTTCTCTGTAGAAAGAGGTTTTTAGGTTATGAGTAAAAACTGTAAGGATATCTGTGATTTGCTAAGTGCTGTCAACCCTGACATTGTTTTTGTGTCTGCAGTTGGTTTCTCGTTGGTGGTGCCTTATTGCTTATCAGCTTGTCCATTGCATTTTACTGCATCCTCTACCTGGAATGGTACCATGGAATTGAAGATTATGATGTCAGGTATCCAACCTTGATACCCATTACAACTGCTGCTTTTATTGTAGCGGGCATTTGGTAAGTTAACTTTGATGAACAGGAGTAAAAATGTTGTTGATCAGCTACTGAAGTGTACACGGCACAAAATTCAAAAGGAAAAAAAAGGAACAATGGGAAAATAGCCTTCCTGGCATTCCTAGTCTCTGATTCCCTTTTCAGTAATATCTTTCTGTATGTATTCAGTTGTTAAAAACATACAACGGTGACATGTTATATAGTATATTCTGCATTTTGCTTTTTAAATCATTTTTGTTGTGAAGTAGAATACATACAGAAAAAACTAAATGTATAGCTGAATGAATGATCATGAAATGAGAACTGACATAAACCCCACCCAGGTCAAGAAAGAGAACTGGGCCATCGTCTTGTAACCCTCACGCCTCCCGTAGTCACTACACCTTCCTGCCCACAGGTCAACACTGTCCCGCCCTGTATATAATTGCTTTCTTTTGCAGCTCTTAAGTTCTCTGTTTTTGTTTTGTCTATTTTGTGAGCTTTATAGACATGGATTCATAGGGTATGTACTCCTTTCCATGTGGCTGTTTACATGCAGCCTTATGTAGGAGGTGTCCAGGTTGTAACATGGTTCACTGCTCGTTAGCATCCTGGCCTGGGACTGAATCCCAGCTTATCTCTACTGTTGGTGGCATTTGGATCGTGTCTAGTTTGGTGGTGCTATTACTGATGCTATTAAGAGCATTCTGGTATGTGTCTCTTGTCGCTATGCACATGTATATTTCTGTTGGATGTGTGTAAACACACGTACGTACATGTATACTTATCGCTAGAAGTGAAATTGTTGGCTCACAGGGTATGCGTGTCTCCAACCTCAATAAATAGTGCCACACTGTTGACAAGCTTGTTCGTCCTTTTTTTTTTTAATGGAGCCATATAATTTGGAATTCTGCCATGTGGGTGCGTGTGGGTGTGCCTCATCCTTGTGGATAGTTACATAGTTATCACTATGTGGACACTGCAGGATTTATTCAACCAACTCAACTCACTGTTGTTTCTATTCTTCTGCTGTTGTAAACAATGCCACAGTTCATATCCTTCTTTATAAGTTAACAGGCACTCGGTGAAAAAACCCTGATTTTTAAAAAATGTTTATAAAACATTTGCTCACTGAAGAAAAATCTGTTACAGAAAAACACCAAGGAAACAAATCCCACGAGCCTGCCAAACAGAGAGAAAAACTACCCTCATACATTGTATAGGTCTCTTTAGTTCTTTTTTTTTTCTTTATATTAATTGAATTTGATTTTGGAAAAACCATATACTCTTATACTTACTCGGGTTAAATATATGTTTTTTATTATTTGTTTTCTGTAGTTGAAGTTTAAGGGTATTTGACACATATTCTATTGTGATGTGGTTATTATTAACCCTTCAGTGAAGTGGGTGGACAGGTGGGCTACTGTACATTTTTGTATAAGGCTAACATCACCCCAGAAATGTTATTTGATTCTTCAGAACAGTGTAATGATAGCTATTTTAAAGCTCTACTTGTCAGAGTATTACATATTAAAATCAATAACTATCTGAAGCATCTAATTGACTATAGTTTTCCCTAATTAAATTCTCTTATAATTTCATACCATAAAAATCATTACACTTAGAATGTGTTTTATTCTTACCTTGATGACAAGAATAGTGCTTTTCTCAGTGGAAAATTTAATAGCAACTTGTAAATGATTACGTTTTTCATTCTGTTTTTAATAGAAAATTGCTTTTAACCGTCTTTTTAGCATGATAGTTTGATAGTGTGTGATACAGTAAAATCAGTCTAGAGCCATTTTAATTCATATTCCATTGCAGACACTAACTTTAATAGACTTGTTTTTCTTTCCTTTTTTAAAGATTTTATTGGGGAATTGGAGGGGAACAGTGTTGGGGAATCGGGGAAGGGGAACAGACAAGTTGCTCTTTTTTTGTTCTGCAGTCTAGTTGTGGAGGATGTCGCTTCACTGGCCCATGTTGGTATTGTGATCATTGCGCTCTTCCTGGGTGAGGCAGTCGCTCGCCGACCATTGGACGGCCACTCACAGCGGCTCACAGCAGCTCACGCTGGCTGCCGGCCACTCACGGTAGCTCATAGCAGCCCACTGCAGCCCCATTGCAGCCTACGCCCTCGCCGGTGACTCACGGCAGCCCAGCTCCAGGTCGAGCTGTGGTTCACCATCTTAGCTGTAGAGGGCGTAATGTCACTGGCCCTCATGTGGGATCTGAACCGGCAGCCCTGCTGCTCAGAGCTGGCATCCCAAGCCAACTCTTAACCAACGCACCACTCGGCCAGCCCGAGACTTGATTTTCTATTCAGCCATTCCAACTCGCATTAGAAGACCTTCAGTGATTCCAGGTCCAAGTACTTTTGGAAGAGATTGTGGTATTTCCAATATTGGCTAAATCACATTTCTGAGAAAAAAAAAAGAAATATACACACACACACGCACACACACAAACACACAGTGCCAAAGAAAATGTATACACATTTTAAGAAAGGAAAACTGTATTATTAAAATTATAATACTCAATATATACCGATAACAAAAGATGAATACAAGTCACATGTGACTTCTGCAATTACAAGAGGTGCTCAAAGTGGTTCCCATCAGTGTCCAGACACTTACGATTATGGTGAACTACTGCTTGAGCAACGTTGACCAAAGTGTCCACTTGTATACATTTTTTTTGGCACCCCCAGTATGTGTTTCTGTGCGTGTGTGTGTGTGTGTGTATAATATATATAATTATATATATAATATATATACATATATATATAATTATATCATATATATATATATATATATATATATATATAAATGTTGCTGGCTAAATGAACTTTCTCAAACCGCGTAAAAAGTGAGTTCTTTAAATTGAGACTCTACAATAGAATATATATGTGTAGATTACAGCTAGAGTTCCCAACTGTGTTTTTTGTCTTTTTATTTTCAGCTTCAACATTGCTTTATGGCACGTGTGGTCATTTTTCACTCCAGTGTTGTTGTTTACCCAGTTTATGGGGGTTGTAATGTTGATCTCACTCCTTGGATGATTTCTAAAGGTAAGATTTCTGGAATGGTATTTCTAATAATAACCTCACTTGAAAAATGTCTTTCATGACAGTTTTCAGGTGACACAGACTACTTGGGACTTACTTCAGTCGTGTTCACACCAGAGCTGTTCATCCAGTGAATTTGGATAAAAGGGACTGAGACCCCTTCCCTTTTGGATAATTTAGTTCTGACCACTTATTAGAGAGGGCACCCTACCCACCCGTCAAAGATCTCATGAAGACAGTTTTTGCACCTTCCAATATCGATAAGTTCACACATTAGACCAATTTCTATTGAAGTCAACTTCAGTCAACTTATATACGAGTGACTGTTGGCTAAGGAATGGGATATGGGAAGAATGGGTGATTTTGCCCAATTGCGGGGAAAAACTTCTGCCATTTTCTAACTGGTCTGGCTACCGCATATACATTTGATGGATGAAACCTCAGCTTCTTCCTGCTGTGTTATTTATGGAATTTCTGCCTCCTGACAGCCCACTGCGTCCCTTCCTGCACTTGCTGCCTGACACAGTGGGGTCCGTTTGCTGAATATCGGATAACTCATTTATTAAATAAGTATGGATTGAGAGGACTCTGTATGCTTAGGGACATGGAGAAAAAGACAGAGATGGTCCCTCCTTTCATGTCGCTTGCATCAGAACTTGCAGGAAATCCACTTCATATATCAGTTGACAGTATGAAAATTAGCCCAGAAAAGTACAAGTTAATACACTAAGTGAATTATTGGGTTGCTAAAGGAAATTGATATTTCAGCAAACAGACAGCTTTGGAGTTTTAAAGGAAATTTACTCTTAACCATGTAAAGGAGAAATGGGTGTAACCTCATTGTTGCCAGTCTGAAAATAGTTGCTGGCATGGACATGACCATGCTGAGGGTAGCGTCCCCTCCACACACTGTGCTGTGAAGGGAGGGAGCCATTGGGACTCGCACAATACGCCCTTTGTCCCCGTGGATGTGTCACCACAAGGACTTTCCCTCATCTGAACGTGTCTCCCCCTCTCCCCTTCTGATATCATTAAATCTTTGGCTGTTCAGTTTTGAGTGTTCGGGAGCTTTTGGCTTCCTGCCCACGTGAATTTATAATTCGTAATGGAGGGCCAGGTGGTCATGTAGGCATGTAGATTAAACTGCGTTTTACTAGTAAATCCAACAGCATAAGACAGAATGTGTTATGTGGTACATAAATACTGTTTTTCTTTCAGGTTGAAGGGCATGTCCATCTAAAGGGAATGATTAAACATCCAGCTAGCTGAAAGCATCGCAGACATTGTGGAAAAGTTACAGTGTGTTTTTGCATCTTGAAGCAAGTGGTTTCCTGGGAAAAAATTGTAATTTCATAGATCTGTTGTTGAAATCAGAAAAAATTATATTTCATTTGCATATTCTTAAACTCATATGATTATTGAATTTTTCAGATTCAAAAATTAGAAATATTCTATTCAAAATAGAAATAACTAATTTGCAATGTAAATCTGTTTGAATCATTAGAGAAAGTATTGGTGTAAAAATTTTGACAAAGTTTCATTAGAAACACATGATGTGGGCCAGCTGCATGGTGCATTGGTTAAGAGTTGGCTTGGGATGCTAGCTCTGAGCAGCGGGGCCCCTGTTCGGATCCCACGTTAGGGCCAGTGGCGCTGCGCCCTCTGCAGCTGAGGAGGTGAACGGTGGTTCGACCTGGAGCTGGGCTGCCATGAGTCGCTGGCGACAGCGTAGGCTGCAGTGAAGCTGCAGTGGGCTGCCGTGGGCTACCGTGAGTGGCTGGCAGCTGGCGAGAGCTGCCAAAAGCCGCCGTGGGCGGCCGTCCAGTAGCCGGCAAGCTATCTGCCTCACCCGGGAAGAGTGTAATGATACCAACACGGGCCAGTTAAGCGACATCCTCTACAACTAGACTGAAGAACAAAAGGACAGCAACTTGTCTGTTTTCCTTCCCTGATTCCCCAACGCTGTTCCCCTCCAATTCCCCTATAAAATCTTAAAAAAAGAAAAGAAAAGAAATACATGATGTACTCCCACTACTGTAGAGAAATTGTTCACTGTTCATTTTAGGGGCATCAGATGACCAGATGTGTACATGAAGGAATGAGTTTCATGTGCCTTTAGCCCAACTTTAGCATTTACTATATATCTCCTTTTTATAATGGTTTTGTTAGGTGAGAGGACCAACTAAACGTATTTTTATGTGTTCTTATACTTTAGATTTTATCGTAAATTATTGGGCTTTTAGCATTTTAACTCATGAACTTTTAATGATTTTTAAGTATGTGTAATTTTTCCTTAATGTAAATAAAATATTTTTATAAGTTTCTTGTGTGTTTTGTTAATATAAACTTTGGAATAGTTCCTGTTTTCAGCTATTAGTGCTTTGAGTTAACTATAGAAGTAAGGCTTCTTTTTAGAGGAAACTACTGTGCTCTTCAGAGACCTCATGAAGACAGCATCACACTTTCAAATTTAAATGTGCTCACTTTAAACCTAAACATTGCAAGCATTTTGACAGTACCTGCTGCTGATTCTTTTAGCCCCGTAGAGGGACTGACTCTCAGTGACGTTCTGATTCAGTCACACTTGTATCCGCCTCAGACTACACCCCATATCCCCACTGCCTGACCTTGGGTCATAGTTAATCTTTCTCCAGCTGTGAAGTGCAACAATTGTCTTGTAGGGCTGTGAATAATAGGAACAATGTTGATAAAACACCTATTACAGTCTCACACAGTAGGTGTTCAATAAGTAGTAATGGAGAGGGAAAGAAAGACCAGTAGACCTGAGATCAGGAGCGGGAGAAGGCACGCGTGATCAGTAAGCAGAATCAAGGCCAGTTTGAGGCACATGAGGGTGTGGAGAGAGAGCTTCATTTGAAGGAAGGTGTGAAGTCAGGTGGTGATGTGAGGGTCCAGTGCAAGGCTGGGGTTGCAAACCCTGGCAGCGAGGATAAAGAGCACTGGTTCAGACAGACTGAACTTAAGTGGGGCCCAGGGCAGTGGCGCAGTGGCAACTCACAAATTCTGTCTGCCTGTCTGTCTGGTTAGATTCTGCAAGGGAGAAATATCTGCCTGTCTGTCTGTCTGTCTCTTTTCTTGCAGAGTAGTTTTACTGCTAGGATAGAAATCTCAGGCTGAGATTTTCTGCTTAATACAGTTTGTAAAAACCCAGTTAGCCAAATGCTGACGCTGATCAACTAGGATGGTAAGATTACCCTGTTATTTACAAAGACATTTTAATAAATTTGTTTGAACGGGATCATGTCTAGTCCCTGTTTCTGTTAAATAACTGGTATGCATGTTATTTATGGGTCTTTTCCTATTTTAGCTACAAAAGAAAAACAGTGTCAGGTAATATTGTTTTTGCTTCTAAACAAGCCTCTGGTAGAGCACCTAGTCTTAGGAATAATGAGTAACTAAGTACCAGTAGTAAGTCTCTCATGAAAGTCCTGAAGGCTGTAGAAGCAAGTGTGCACTCTTAGAAATGTCCTTGACTTGGACAATCCCAAGTGTCAAGACCCAAGTTTTCAACCCGGATTGCACACAGGTTGCCCAGGCCTGGTGCTCAGAGGTTGTGATTCCATTGTTTTTGGAAGAGTTCTCCAGGTGATTCAAAACTGCAGCTGCATTGAGATCTTCCTGCTCCGGATGTCGGGTAGAGACATCTGTGCAGAAGCAAGAATGTTCAAATTGACAGAGATAACACACTCTAATTGAGCCCGCTGGGGTAAACACCAGATTGAGACTCACTGCCAAATTTGTGTCCGGGACCTAGCCTGGGAGGCAGTGGTCTTTCTAGGGGATCTAGGCGATCTTAACAGGACTTAAGATCCTGGCTGTATCAGGCAGGGCTCTTTGGTTTTTATGCAACAACAACAAAAAAGGGTCTCTGGCTGCACTTAAGCAAAATGGAATGCATTGGAAACGAGTCGAGGGAAAAGTTAGCCACATCTTTGTAAGTGGGATAGTTTTGGGGAGGGACTGGGTGTCTGGGTAACAGGAGTTACTTTACTAGACGGCTTCTTCAGCAGCCACAGTTAGGATAAACGCCCTTCACTTAAACACATTTTTTTTTGAAAATCTGCTTCAGTTCAGTATTCCTAGAGGTGGGAAAGAGTTTGGTGGATTCTAGGAACTGTTTACATGGAATTCATAAAAATAATTAAATGAAATAGCAATCAGTATTTTGTATACACTAAGGACTCACTTTAAAGAAGCAGAATTGCAGGTTCTGGATCAAGAGAAGATTGGGAGTTGAAGAGAAGAGTAAATTACTCCTAAAAGGGCCACGAAAATCTCATCTCAGCCTCACAGATTCAGTTCTGGAGTGGAAGAGGGTTTCCCGACTTGGGCAGAAATGAAATGTGCAGCTGTTTTATGTCTAAAGCAATGTGGGTGACTAGTTTTTAGTGTAGCTGCAGCTTTTACAAGCCTTTTTCATACTTCACCTTAGGTATATTCATGATGCCTTGAGATGCGTTGTTCCGATCAGCATACAAGCACGTGGCCACATTTCCCATCTTCAAACAAACACCCCCCCAAACCAGGTTCCCCCATGCTTCTCCAGTTATTCACCATTTTCTTTGGTCACCTTAGAGTTCTCTATGCTCATGCTCTCCAGCTGTGCTCCTCTCATTAAAAAAGAAAAAATTGTATCACGACACATGTGCACAAGAGTGTGAATAATGTTTGAAAAACGCACCGTGATATATTAAGGAATGCTGGGGAGAGGAGAAACGGGAATGTCTGTGCTATCTTTGGAACTCTTCATGCTGTAATGCGTCCTTTTGGGAGGCTTGGAGGAAGAGTCACAGTATATTTGAGGCACAGTGAGGTTTAGTAACTAGCCCAGGGTCACTCAGCAGTAAGTGATGGAGCCAGGAATTGAACCTCACAGCCTGGCTGTAGAACTCACCCACCAAACCACCGTTGACATTGCTTTCCCCTACAAATCTGCATGACTTGAGCTAATTTGTGACAGAGAGAATGGATGTGCTTCGTAAAACTGTAAAGTAAACTAAAAGCAGAGGTGGTTTTATGGGAGTCTGGGGCATTCATGGAGCCCCTGCCACCTGCCAGCCACTAAGTGCTCTCTCTCCCCCAGGTTCCCATGGCTTATGCACAAGCGGTGAGCTTCATCTTATCCCCAGACCTCGCCCCATAACTGGCACATGAGAGGTGTACAGCACACATTTCTCAATGGATGAAAAACACAAACATGCTGGATGCTAGGGAGCAGAACGATCAGACAGCGCTTGCCTTCAGGGAGCTCAGAATTGGAGCAACAGTTAAAAAACAGATTGTGGCATGTGGGAAACAGAGGGATGGAGAGGTGGACCAGTCCACAGGGGGTCCCAGATGAGGAAGTACGGTGTCTTAGTTTCCTGGGGCTGCAAAGACCACAAACTGGGTGGCTTAAACACTAGAAATGTAAGGTCTCACAACTCTCCAGACTAGAAGTTCAAGATCAAGGTGTCGGCAGGGCTGGTTCCTGCTGAGTGAGGGAGGGCTTTGAGGGAGTCTGTTTCAGGCCTCTCTCCTAGTTTCTGGTAGTCTCAGGTGTTCCTTGGCTGATAGGTGGCATTCTTTCTATCTTCACATCATCGTCCCTCTATATGTGTCTGTCTTCAAATGTCTCCTTTTTATAAGGACATATATTAGAGCCCACCCTGATGACCTCAACTTGATCATTTGCAAAGACCTTATTTCCAAGTCAGGTCACGTGCACAGGTACTGGGGGTTAAGACTTCAACATCTTTTGGGAAGGACACAATTCAACACTTAGTTTTTGAGCACCTCCTATGTGCTGGGCACCATTGTTCTGCATCCTGGACCATACAGCAGTGGATAGGACAGACAACATCCTTCTCATAGAACTTTCGTCACGTTGTGAGAGCCAGGCCACAGATGCATACACATTCCAGGAAACAACGTGTGCTAGCAAGCTGAGGGGACAGAGCGCCGTGGGAAGACCCATCGCCGAGTCCCACACCCTCACTGATCTGATGTGGAGACCGAGGCCTCCTGATTAACGCAGCATCCATCCATCTGTGCACTCATTACCTCCTTGGTGTTTTTACCCAGCATCCACCTGGCTTGGCTCTGGGGACACGCAGCTGATGGACATGTTCCCTGGTCACTGCCTGACTTTTCACACTCATTTCTGTGCATGTGCGGCATCCCATCTCTGGCATGCCCTCCCCCGCCCTGCCCCATGTCACCTGGCCAGCTCCGACTCTGCAGGCGCTGCCTCCTCTGGGAACCTCTCACCCTTCCTGGCAGACTCAGACTCACGCCTCCCCTCTAGGCAGCCTTGCTCCCCGACGGGGCCATGAGCTCCTGGAAGGCGGGGCTGAGTCTCACTCACCTT